CTCCTCCAGGAGATGGCCTGGGGCCTGGCTCAGGCTGTTCCTCTGTAGGGAAGCTCTCTCCCCCTCCCCCCAGTTAACCACTGCTCACTCAGTCAAGGGCCCCTTCCTCCCACAAGCTCCCCGACCCCCAGGCCAAGTCCGGCTGTGCTGGTGGATGCTCTTGGTGCTCCCTTCCAACACCAACCTCGTTACACATTTATGACGCAGGTGTGGGATTGGTGCCCATCTCCTGCCCCCATGAGAAGCTTCACAAAGGCAGGGAGCACGTCCATCCTGCTCCCAATGCCCGGCACTCGCTGACCTGGTGCTGACGGGGCACTGAGGGCAGGGCCTCTATTACTGCTGCATCTTCAGAGCACCCAAGACGTGCTCAGAAATGGTCCCTGTCCCCACCCGAGCCTGATTGCAGAATGACTGGCCCGTGTGCCTCTTCTCAACATCTGGCCTGCAGAGATGGGGAAAGCGCCCAGCGCAGGCCCAGCCCAGAGGTCTATTGACTCTGAATGTGCTGTCCCTTTTGGATGGAACTCACCTAGAGAGCAGGGACTCTGTCTTCCCTACTCGCAGACCCTCCACCCTCTGTTTCTGTCCCTGAGACACCTGACAATGCCAGCCCCTGCTGCGTGCTTGGAATCTGGGGCTTGGTGATGACTCTCTCAGGTGATGGGGGAGTGCCAATCTCCCTGGAACTAGGAGACACGAACCTGGAAGAGGGTGGAAACAAGTGAAAAAGATTCTGTGGTGGCTCATTGTCACTGGAGGACGCAGAGCACAGGTGCCCCTCAGCTCATCACAGTACAGCTCTCTGGTGAGCAACCACTCGCCAGCTCTGGTTTGTAAGTGTGTGGATTTTATGCAGCAGGCACGGAGGCAGTGGGGACAGTCCACCTTCTGGAGTCAAGAGTCCAGTCAAGAGTCAATGAGTCAATGTCTGTGTGGCCTGGGCACGTTCCCTCCCCATCTCAGCCTGTAGGGTGGGGTGACAGCTGTCAGAAAGGCTCCATGGGATTAATGCAGTCATGTGTGCAAAGTGCCTATGGAGGGGCCAGGCACTTAGTAGGCCCTCAGCAGTGCTGTCTCCATTCTCCCCTCCTGGGATCAAGGCCGCTGGGACTCCCTTAGTGCATCGGCGCAGCTGGTGTCCTTGTTGCTTCTGCCAGGAGTGGGAATCCAGGGCTGCGGGTGACTGTTAAACAGACACAATCCCTTGGGGTCAGTGCTGGCCCAGGATAGCTCTCTGAACTCAGCCTTCATTCCAGCTTCCCTGTCCATAATGAGGGTGATGACCTCCGACCTTGTGTTCCCAGTCAGGGAGGAAAGGTCCAGAGCCCTGTGAGCTGGGCAGAGATGCCTCAGGGAGCCAGTGCCCAGTACCACGTTTGAGATGAGCTCGAAGATTGGACTTGGGGCTGCCGATGGTCTGCATGGAACACGGCATTTGATTGGCAATTGTCCATCTTGAGAATGGTTCATTTTTTATTATTTCTGTACTGTTTGAATTATTTCCCCACTTTTATTGAGGAATAATTGACAGACATCACTGTGTGAGTTTCAGGTGTCCAGCATGATGGTTTCTTTCCTGTATCTCATAGGGCAATGTCCACTGTAGTTCCCACGCTGTACAGTATGTCCCTGGTACTTCTTTATCTTATAACTTGAAGTTTGTACCTTTTCCCCACCTCCCTTCAATCCCCTCTCCTCAAGTCCCCATCTCTGCTAAACATGAGTCTGATCTCTTTTTCTATGAGTTTACTAGTATTTTTGTTGTTTTTTGTGTTTTTAGTTCCGAGTATAAGTGAAATCATACAGCGTTTGTCTTCCTCTGCCTGACCGATGTCACTCAGCTTAGTGCCCTCAAGGTCCACCTATGTTGTAGCAAATGGCAGGACTTCCTTGTTTTTTATGGCCGAATAAAAACTTCTTTACCCGTCCATCCATCTATTAAGTGTGATCTTGATCAGGGGCTTGCAACTTTGGAGGCGCAGTGTCACTCAGGTTCAAGGCTGAGCTCCACCACTCACCTACTATGTGGCCTTGGGCAGCTACTTAACCTTTCTGAGCCTCCATCACCTCATCGGTGAAATGGGGGTCATTCTGCAGACCCCAAAAGTAAATCCCACCTACTATTATTACTGGCAAGTCCTGCCCCATGAATCTTTCCCTGACACGTCCCTGTCCCCCAGTCCTTTCTCCCACCCCCAATTCCCTCCCCCGACACACACCAGCTGGAGGTGACCTCTTTCACCCTCAGGCTGGCACAGCAATCGTCACTTTCTAGATCCTACCTTGTAGAAACCCACCCTAGGCCATGTTCTTATTTTGACAGAAGCCCCAGATCCTCCCAGACTGACCCCACGTTCACATCCACTGTGCTGCCAGGAGGACCGAGGACCCTGCAGTGAGTCATTATGGGCTGAGGTTGTTTTCTCATGTCCTGCTGGAGACCAAAGTGTGGTCCTGTCTTCGTATGGACATGAACCCCCTACATCATCGGCTCGTGGCTCAGAGCACCCTGGGGCAGCTCTGTGACATGCAGACAGACCATCACTACTGACCGTACTCTACGTTCAAACAGAGTCATTGCACTTCATCCTCGGGCGGTCAAGCACCAACAAGGCCGGGTCCATCCCGGCAGAGGACGGGTATTTACTGAGCACCATGCATGGGCTGGGGTCTTGGTTGGGCACTGAGGACATGATATGGCAGGAAGGAGACAGCGGATGGGGACGGGGTGGGGGCTGCCCTGCAGAGGGTAGAGTGTGGTCAGGAAGAGGACCATCAAGCAAAGATGGCAGGTGAGATGAGGGTCACAGAGAAAGGGCCCTTCCTAAATGCTTTGTGGCTCTTGGGCCTCATCAAAGGAGGCTGGAGCCCATCAGCCTCACTGGGCTGCACCAGGGAGCTGCGCCTTCTCCCCAGAGTCACAAACCCAAGCCTGAGGAATTTAGCAGCAAAGGTTAGAAACAGCTAGTAGAAAACCCAACCAAAAAAACAAACAAAAAACTTCAAGGCCAGGCGAAGAGATTATTGAGAGTTGAGAAGACCTTTGTGTGTTTTAATTGGTGCATACTGACAGAGAAATTGCCAAACAGCTTTGGATGATTTGCTTGAGGGTTATCTCACCTCCTGCCAGTTGTGGCTTGTCCCCACCAGAGTCTCCTTAAGATGAAGCAGACGGACACCCTGGGTCTCAGGCCACCACACCTGCAGCCCCGAGGAGGCTCACAGGCGCGGTGGGATGTTCTCATTTCAGGTGCCTGGTCCCTCTCCGTGAGTGTCAGAATGGACAGCTCATGGTGATACCCAACTTGAAGTGAGTTCGCTCACCTGTTGCACAGCAAGCCAATCTCTGACACCGGGTGTGGTGGAAGAAAGTAGGAATTTTATTTTTGCACAGCGCTGAGCAAGGAGAGAGGGCAGCTAACACTGAAATCCCATACTCCCTGAAAAGCTAAAAGGAAGGGTTTTTATTTGGGGTTTTAGTTAGGGGAAGGGGAGTATATGGCCATGCGGGTCGGAGCTTTCCCACCAGGTTGTCTTTGGCCTTGAGACACTTGCAGAGAGGAGGGAGCCCGTGACCTTGCTGGTCAGCATCTTTCCCACCAGCCTGTGTCTCTTTGTGGGGAGGAGATAATGAATCCAGGTGCTTGTCCTTGAAGGTGTCTGTCTCCATGGAGGATAGTGGATTCTGGAGCCAGGAAGCCAGGGTGTAAGCAGGGAATGAGTGTTTTGGTTTTAACCCATATATGCTGGGTTTAATGTGGGGAAACTGATATCAGGGCCGATATCAATGGGAATGGGTGTTTTCGTTTTTCTGAAATTGTGTCCAGGAACTGACTTCTCTCCACAGGGAATGGGAAGGAAACAGAGCTGTGCAGAGGGAAAGGATGAGGGTCCCACTGGGGAGAGGTGGCTGTGCCTGCTGGGGCTGTGGGTGCAGCCACAGAAGCGCTGGAGAGTCTGAGCTGGGGCTGCCCTGGATGGTGGACATATTTTCAACTTTAGGACTGTGGGAGAAAACTCAGTACTAGTGTCTACATTAAAGTAAACAGGCGGACTCCTGGAGTGTGACACTTGTTTAAAAATAAGTCAAAGAAGAATAAATTGTGGTCCAGAAAAAAAAACAAAACCCAGCAGCAACCGGGAGTCAAAGGACATGGGGAGGGGTAGTCCTCCCATGACAGAGGTGGAGGGCTGCCCCCTCCTAGAGAAGGGCATGGATCTGCTCTAGGAGGCCCTTCCTGTCCCTTGGCTTCAATGCAGATCGGCCCCAGCGCCGCCTCCACCGCCCTCCTCCGGGGCTGGCAGGGCTGAGAGCAGCCTCCTCCCCTCAAAGAGACACAAAGCTCCAGCACTGAGAGGAGCGGACAGAGGGAGCGCAGTTCCAGGCGCCCGCTCTGAAGGCGCGGGGAGAAGGGGTGGTGGCCAGAGCCGGTCCCAACAACGCCCCTGCAGACCCCCAGCCTGCAGCTGCGGGCAGGACTAGGACCTCGTCCCACCACGAGCCGGGACGCGGAGGTCGCCCATATTAACGCACCCAGCGAAAGATGAAGACGACCCAGCTTAAGAACAGTTAAAGCAATGGGGACCCAAGCGATGCCGCGATGGGGGAGTTTGGAGCCTAGTTATCGAGGGTTCTCATTCTTAGGGAATGGCGATCCCCCGCGAAGAGTGCAACGCGTGCGAAGCGCTTCGCTAAAGTGGCTTCTCCTGCTCCCCACGGGAGACGGCACACAGAGGTGGGACGCGGAAGTCAGGGCCCCGCCCCAGCTCTGCAAGCCCGCTGTGCGTCCTCGGGTGGTTCGGGGCGGCGCCCGAGGCAGTCTGGCGGGTCGCTTGGGGCGCGCACGGCTGGCTTGGGTAGGGCGGGGCGGGCGGCGGCCCGGGCTCCTCCCTCCTGAGTCTCTGGCCTGCCGGGTCCCGCGGGTCACTGGACTCTGCCGAGCAAAGGAGCCTTCAGCACAAAGCCAGAGCCGCTGGAGTCCTGTCCCAAGGCCAGCATGAGTGACAGCCCTCAGTCCAGTGGCATCAAAGCCTTAATCACCTGCCCTGCACTGCATTTCATCTCGGAGCTTGTGAGTGGCTGGCGCACCGGGAAGGGGCGAGATGGGCCGTGTCGCTCCTCCCAGCTGTCTAGAACAGATCCACAAGTTGCGCGGGTCTTGGGAGCATCGGGTTGGGGTGGGGGGAGGGTGAGGAAAGCCTCCCCCACTGGAGTCATTTGGTCCCTTCTAGACCAACGGCAATGGGGGAAACAGTCTCAGGGATTTAGGTGGAAAAACCAGATTCGCGAATGGGTCAGATGTAAGAAGCGGGCCAGGGTCCTTCCTTGCTTGCTGGTTCCATAGCTGCGCTCCGACCCGCTTCCCATGGGCGCAGAGGAAGCCCTGATGGGAGAGCGACTTCCTTGTACCGGTGCCCAGCTTTGCCCAGGGTTAGGATTTCGTTTACAAATATCAGGAAAAGAAGCCTGAGCATCACCAACTGAGGTCTGCTGACTGGGTTGGTGTCTAGGAGGAACCGAATCTGGAGTATTCTCTTCTGGTCTTTGAACGTTTTTGATGAGAGAACATATCTGCCGCGACTTTGATCTGGAAATAATAAAACAGGGCACCGTTTGATTCACAGTCATTCTGCCCTGTGTGTGGAGTAGGGGGAGGGGAGAGGCTGACAAGGTGGTCCTGTGCCTTGGCTGACCTTGGGCAGTCCGAGGACCCTCTTACCTGTGGTTGGTCCCTCTTTAGGCTGGAGCCCCACAGCTCCGCTGGTGGCTGTGGGAAAGCATTTCCTACCCTGGGCTCCTGGTACAGTGCTCACTGTGTCACCAGGCTTCAGACTGCCCTCAACCTAAACTCCCCAGGGGCCACATGCCCATACCTGGGAGGGGCTGCTGTGTGTATTCTGTGGGTGTGGGGTGTTGCAGCCACGGAGATGCCATTCCCAGCACCCCTGGCCCAGAAAAGTTGGTTGGAAAAGAGTTTGTCCAAACCTGACTGTTTAAAAACAGAGCCCAGCTTCTTCTTGCCTGATTGGAGGCTGGAGGGTGTGACCAGCACAGGGAGCAGGCTCTGTCATCCATGGAGGGTTTGGAGAAAGGGCTAAGGGGACCAAGGTTGCCTGGTGGCTCTGAATCACGGCATTTGTGAGGGCTGAGTTGAGCCCACACCTGCTTATATCCAGGGCCGGCTGGTGATGCAGTGGTTAAGTTCCTGCTCTCTGCTTCAGAGACCGGGGATTCGTTGGTTCAGGTCCCGGGCATAGACCTACACACCACTTGTCAAGCCATGCTGTGACATTTCTTCTCAAGCGAAAAGAGGAAGATTGGCAACAGATGTTAGCCCTGCCTCACCAAAAAAAACAAACAGAAAACCAAAACCCTGCATGTATCCAGAGTGACATCAAGTTCTGGGGCCGCCCAGGGTCAAGGAAGTGACATCTAGAAGAGACCCTGGACACCACTGCACCCAGCCCCACCATTTATAGATAGGGACACCCAGGCCCAGATTGGGGAGGGGCTTGCACCCACTGGCACATCCTTTCCCCAAGTGGCTCCTCTGGGTGCGTCTGTTCAGCGCTTGGCCTGTCCTTGCCTGAGGCTGGACGTCTGAAGATGAGCGCACAGCACCCAGGACCTGGGATGAGTGGTGGTGGTTCCGTCAGAGGCCACTGTGTTTACAAAGGCAGATTCATGACCAAAGAGATGGTGGCTGACAGTGAGGCGTGATGGGCAGAGGGATTTTAAGCAACAAAAGGTCCTCCTAGTGTCTCTTCAGTTGTCCTAATGGGGGGCTTCCTCTGGCTTTGCAGCTGTTTGGGGAGCACTGTGACAAGAATCATGAGAGGCTGTTAGCTGGGCTTCATGCAAAAGACTCTGGGGCACCCCCTTCTCTTGCCTTCACAAGAGCTGGCTCAGGTGGCAGCAGGAGATGGCAGGTGTGGGGGGACCTGGCTTCACAGAAGGCACAGCCCAGTGCCCACTGCCTCCTCTTGGTGTCGCAGCCCAAGGGAAGGAGTGCCCCTGGGGGTAGAAACAGCCCTGCCAGGCAGAGTGGTCTGCAAGGGAGGTGACAGGAGGATTCCCCTCTACCAAGTGAAAAGAGAGAGCATGGGGGTAGGAAAGCTCAGAGCCCTGAATTAGTGGAAACTTACTCCTTCAGGGAGGTTTTGTGACCTGTGATAGTAGGGGCTTCTAGAAGAAATAATTCTCCCTTGTCCAGATCACTTCCCTCTCAGCTGTCTTAGAAATTGTTTTTTCTCCTCTACCTCAGCCCCTGCTCCACAGATGCCCACCCCCTCACCACTTCCTGAGAGATTGTGGACACCTCTGTTGTCATCTCCAATCTCTTTCTTCCTCTCTAGATTGGGGGATGGCTCCCAGGGTGCCTAGGAGAACAGAAAGGAAAGCAGATACCAGTACTTTAAGTTTTTCTTGGCATGGATTATACATCTGAAGCTGGATGTGGTTTGGTGTGTGAAAGAGCACGGAATTAAGGGGCCTGAGGTGGTGCTGTCCAACCTGGGAGAGTGTTTTGTAAATTATGGACCATTACATGACAACAACAAAAAGATAAACAAACCTGTTAGAAAACGAGTGAAGAACTTGAACAGACATTTCTCCAAAGAAGATATAGGAATGGCCATTAAGCACATGAAAAGATACTCAACATCTTTAGTCATTAGGAAAATGAAATCAAAATCACAGTGGTGTACCATTTCACATGAAATTAGGATGGCTACTATCGAAAAACTGGAGAATAGCAAGTGTGGGCAGGATGTGGAGCAATTGGAGCCCTCACACATTGCTGGTGGGAATGTGAAATGGTCCATCCGCTGTGGAAACAGTTTGGTGGCTCCTCAGAAAAATGACCCTGTGACCCAGCAATTCCATGCCTAGGTTTATAACCAGAAGAACTGAAAGCAGAGACCTGAAATAGGTACATGGACACGTGTGTTTATAGCAGCTCTATTCACTGTAACCAGCAAGTGGAAACAGTCGAAAAGTCCCCTCAGTGGATGAATGGACACACTGATTTATTCACACAGTGGAATATTATGCAGTCGTAGAGAGGGAGGAAGCACTGAGACATTCCACACAGTTGGAAACACTGTGCTGAGTCAAAGAAGCCAGTCACAAGGGTCACATATTGTATGATTCCATTCGTATGCAGTATTCAGAATAGGCAAATCCATAGAGACAGAACACAAACTGGTGGTTTGCCAGGGGCTGAGAGGAGGGGCAATGTAATTTTCTGTCAGTCCAGTGGTGTGAAATGCTTGATTAGTTTTTAAATCTATCCTCCAGCTAGTTGATTACTCACAGTTCCCATTTCCATGCCTGAGCTTCCAATAGCCTGGGAGGGGCAGATGTGAAACCCTTGGCCTCCAGGACCAGCAAGGTGGGGCTCCCCTCCCCTCCCAAGGCAGGGGCACTGCCCACCAGAGCAGGAAGGGCAATGGCTCAGGGTGGGGCCTGGCAACCTTGCCCTGCCCAGCACCCCTCCCCAGAGCTCCGCCGTCTGAAAGCTCAGGGTCCTCTTGGGAGGTGGAAGGCAGCCCAGCCAGGGGTGTGACCCTGCCTCTCTGAGCCCCTGGATCCCACAGGCCACGCTGCTGTTGCAGGCCGTGGGGTCCCAGTGTACCCCACACAGGCCCCCGTGGAACCTCCAGGATCGCCCCTCCCCAACAGCTGCACCCAGGGCTCTGCTTCTGGCCTGTTCCCCTGCCCCCACCCAAGGGGGACATTCCTTTTGGAACCACAGTCTCTGTTTCTTCCTCCTCCTCCTCCCTTCTAAGCCAGGGGCATCCTGACACTGGGCCCCCATTCATGGCACAGGATGTTAACATAGGACGCTGTTTGTCTCAGCTCCAGCCAGGCCCCAAGAGGAAACTTCTCTCAAAGTACCAGAAGGTACCCCCCACTTTCAGAATTTGGGTAGGAAATGCCTGGAAAGGGGCAGTGAAGTCATTAACCCAGCTCCCTCTTCCTCGGCCTGTAAAGAAGTGCAGCCTCTGAAAGAATGGCTTGATTTAAGAGAGAAAATTTTTTTAGAAAGAGTCATCTAGGAGTGCCACCCACCTCTCCAGGGCAGGCGACCCCTCCTTGCATGCGCCCCTTAGGAGCTTGGGGACTCAGATGAGTAGGGTCACCTGGTGGGAGGCTGCACTTGTAGGGTGCACTTTTTGGGGTGGGGTGGGGTAGGAAAGCCACCTGGACTTGGTTTGCAGTTTCCATTCTTACAGGTGGGATAATCTCTCTGTCCTAGCACTTTCAGGAGAGTAGGAGGACCCTGGATGCCATGGCAGGGAGAGCTCAGGCTCAGGTCAGGCCGGGACAAAGGCTGACTGTTGCACCCACAGGCCCACAGAGAGTGGGAGAGTGCATTGGACTGCTGGCCGAGGCCGGGGCTGCAGCCTTAGGAATGGGTGGCTTTGCTCTGGGCTCAGGCACATCCTCTGAGGGAAGGGCTGGGGTGGGGGACTGGGCCCCATATGGCCTGCCTTGAGGTGGGAGGGGGCCAGTCAGTCTAGACTGGATGGGGTCTGGGGGCTGACTCCTGATAGATTCAGAACTGAGCCCTGGGTCCCATCTGTGACTCAAGCCCATCTGGGCTCCCTCCTGGCCTCTCAAGTCTCAGTCCCTGGTGACGAAAGATTTTCACATATTGAGGTATATGTGGTAACTATTTGAGTTAAAAAATGATTCAGCTTGAACTAAAAAGTCTGGCTTATGGCCTATCAAACATACATTGTACATCTGCTTAACCATTAAAGTAAAGAATGCACTCTCTTAAGATAAGAATGCAGACTTCCCCTTCTACTGGTAATGCCCACCCGGAATAGTCCCTTTTCCTGACGTCATGGTCATGTTGACCTGCTAATTTGCAACTGAACACCGCTTTGAAATTTTGATGTAAATGTATCCTGGGTGTGTTTAATGTATGTTCTTTGTTCTAAAAAAATATAAGACTGTACTGAAACCCACGCTTCTCCGGGAACAGCTTCTAAGGCCTTTCCGGGTCATAATCCTCATTCTGGCTCATAATAAACTCACTCCAATTCTGATTTATAGGTTGAT